TGTCTCTTCTAAGCAATTTTGTAGACACACATCAACAACAACCACTCGATATTATTTTTAAATCAGAAGCAACTGAACTTGATCACTCTTTGTTATTAAACCAATTATAAACATAAATCGGACAAAGTTAGCCTACAAAATTAAAACCGAACTAGACTTCCTTGGAAAATACCAAACTGGTTAATGATCTAAGATCAGAAGCAAGAGACTGAAGAAAAAGAGAGATGGAAAGAGAGGCTGTTAGCATACTTAAAGGAGAGCGTCTGTCCAGGAGAAAGAGGCTGATTGTCGTTGACCAGGCAATCCTGATTGGAGATTCGTCTGAAAACTCTCGGGTTAACCAGCCTGACCAAGCTAAACAGCCACAACTCACGTGGATCTCTGCGATTGTACAATTAGAAACACATGCGTAGAAGATCTCAACTTATATCCAGGAAATCCGTTTGGAATTGGAAGTGGTGGAGATGAGAAATAAATTTAGATACTATATGATTTCTTTTTCTCTATCAACTCACTTTGTACGAAAAATGCTTGCCTTAAATAGTGATATAATACTGTCGTACTGATAATCCTTGGACGTAAAACTTATCCAGGTTTATAATGTAAAACATTCAAAAATAAAAATATATAGAAGAAAATAGAACCTGCAAAAAGGAGAAAAGAATAGAAATGAAAAAAAATAAAAATAATCTAGCGCTATAACATTTTTGTATTTTCACTCAAATATATTTCAGTATAACTTTAAATAAGAAACAAAATAGAAAAGAGGATGACACAGATTCAAAGTAACATATAATGCATGTTACTTATAATGTTACCAAGAATGGAAGTGATAAAAATCAAGAATTTAATGAAAATTATAATTTCTACAATAAGTAAATATTGTTGGTCTGCGTATTCTTTTTTTGTAAGCTCTGTGTATATATATAAACGTCTATTTGTTAATTTGTGTTTCTGAGTCTGAGTAAACTTGTTTTTTTTTTACATCAAAGTTGAGATTCATATTATCTAGTGACGCTTTCTAGCTTCGATTGTGACCCTGTTGGGGTATAAGATGAATCAGCGACCACGAAATGATTACTTGATAGTGAATAAGACTGGCAATTACACTCGAAAGAGTATTTTAGATCAAGTACAGACTAACGCTAACGCCATACCTTACCCGCCGCGGCAACCACAACCGAAAACGCTAGTGTACATCATTGACAAGAAGACTTCAAAAGCATTGTTCAGCAATTAACAAGTAATCAATCATGTGAGTTTTTATCTCAAAAACTTCCAAATCGTCAGAAGATTAGACCAGAGTCGACCTCACCAGTTCCTCCTAATGCCGCAGGGGTTCATGTCTCATCGCATATGCGGTATATTGAAAGCTTACGTGAAGAATCATCGGATTCTAATGGTGAACTCTTCCAACAATTATGTGATGAGAATCAATCTCATATGCAACCGATGCTATATTCAAATGGCGAAAAAATCCAACAAACATTTAATGAGAATCAAACTCATATGCCACCCATGTCAAATTCCAATGTTCTTATATCGGTCATGACCAGTACTTTACCCTCTCCTTGGTTCAATGGTTCGCCTCAACAAATGGACGCTGCTTACTCATTGCCATCAACAAGAGTTGAGTATCCTCAACCATTGACGCCAAACTTCACATTTTCGTCTAACCCGGAATTTTTCGATCCAGTCCTAGGACGTTTTTAGCTCCTAAGTTCGATGTTTCTGATTGCTATCACCACTCGCCTTTTCCTCCATCTTCAGATATTCCAGAACAGAATATCCATTAAAGAAGAAATAAGATAGTTTGAATAAGAGAGTTAGATAGAGTGATTTTTCTAAATTTAGCTTGTATGGTGATGGTTATTATATAACTATCTTGTATGAAGTTATGTTTGGCTTATGAATTAATGAATAAACTCTTTTGTCTCTTCTAAGCAATTTTGTAGACACACATCAACAACAAACAACCACTTGATATTATTTTGAAATCAGAAGCAACTAAACTTGATCACTCTTTGTTATTAAACCAATTATAAACATAAATCGGACAAAATTGGCTTACAAGATGAAAACCGAACAAGACTTCCTTGGAAAATACCAAATTGGTTAATAATCTAAGATCAGAAGCAAGAGACTGAAGAAATCGAGAGATGGAAAGAGATGCTGTTAGCATACTTAAAGGAGAACGTCTGTCCAGAAGCAAGAGGCTGACTATCGTTGACCTTGCAATCATCATTGGAGATTCGTCTGAAAACTCTCGGGTTAACCAGCCTGACCAAGCCTAAACAGCCACAACTCCCGTGGATCTCCGTGATTGTGCAATTAGAAACACATGCGTAGAAGACCTCGACTTACATCCAGGAACTCCGTTTGGAATTGGAAGTGGTGGAGCTGAGAAAAAACTTTAGATACTCTATGATTTCTCTTTCTCTAACGACTCACTTTGTACGAAAAATGCTTCCCTTAAATAGTGATATAATACTATCAAACTGATAATCCTTGAACGTAAAACTTATCCAGGATTATAATGTATAACATTCAAAAATAAAAATGTATAGAAGAAATGAGAACCAGCCGAAAGGAGACAAGAATAGAAATGAAAAAAATAAAAATAATCTAGCACTATAACATATTTCTATTTTCACTCAAATATATTTCAGTATAACTTTAAATAAGAAACAAAATAGAAAATAGGATGGCACACATTCAAAGTAACATCTTATGCATGTTTTCAACCTCTTCAGGAAAATTAACCAAAATTTAGAAAATATTTTCCAAGGAAACCATATGTTAAAATTAAAGTCGGAGGAGTTTATTACCCAAAAAAATCAAGAACGGAAATGGTAAAAAATAAGAATTTAATGAAATAATAATTTCTACAATAAATAAATATTGTTTGTCTGTGTATTCTTTTTTGTGTAAGCTCTGTGTATTTATATAAACGTCTATGTGTTAATTTGTGTTTCTGAGTCTGAGTAAACTTGTTTTTGTTTTTTTAACATCAAAGTGGAGATTCATATCATCTAGTGACGCTTTCTAGCTTCGATTGTGACTCTATTATTTTAGAAGATGAATCAGCGTCAACGAAATGATTACTTGACAGTGAATAAGACTGGCAAGTACACTCGAAAGAGTATTTTACAGACTAACGCTAACGCCATGCCTCACCAGCCGCGGCAACCGCAACCAAAAACGCTAGTGTACATCATTGACAAGGAAGACTTCAAAAGCATTTTTCAGCAACTAACGAGTAATCAATCATGTGAGTTTTTACCTCAAAACCTTCCAAATCGTCAGAAGCTTGGACCAGAGTCGACCTCACCAGTTCTTCCCAATGCCACAGCGGTTCATGTCTCATCGCATATGCGGTATATTGAAAGCTTACGTGAAGAATCATCGGATTCTAATGGTGAACTCTTCCAACAATTATGTGATGAGAATCAATCTCATATGCAACCCATGCTATATTCAAATGGTGACAATTTCCAACAAACATTTAATGAAAATCAATCTCATATGCCACCCATGTCAAATTCAAATGGTCTTATATCAGTCATGACCAGTACTTTACCCTCTCCTTGGTTCAATGGATCGCTTCAACAAATGGACGCTGCTTAGTCATTGCCATCAACAAGAGTTGAGTATCCTCAACCATTGACGCCAAATTTCACATTTTCGTCTCAACCGGAATTTTTCAATCCAGACCTAGGAGGTTGTTAGCTCCTAAGTTTGATGTTTCTGATTGCTATCACCACTCAGCTTACCCTCCATCTTCAGATATTCCAGAAGAGAATATCTATTGAACAAGAAATAAGATAGTTTAAATAAGAGAGTTTAGCTAGAGTGATTTTGTTATGTTTGGCTTGTATGGTGATGGTTATCATATTACTGTCTTGTATGAAGTTATGTTTTGCTTATGAGTAAACCAATAAACTCTTTTGTCTCTTCTAAGCAATTTTGTAGACACACATCAACAACAACCACTCGATATTATTTTTAAATCAGAAGCAACTGAACTTGATCACTCTTTGTTATTAAACCAATTATAAACATAAATCGGACAAAGTTGGCTTACAAGATGAAAACCAAACAAGACTTCCTTGGAAAATACCAAATTGGTTAATGATCTAAGATCAGAAGCAAGAGACTGAAGAAACAGAGAGATGGAAAGAGAGGCTGTTAGCATACTTAAAGGAGAGCGTCTGTCCAGGAAAAAGAGGCTGATTGTCGTTGACCAGGCAATCCTGATTGGAGATTCGTCTGAAAACTCTCGGGTTAACCAGCCTGACCAAGCTAAACAGCCACAACTCACGTGGATCTCCGCGATTGTACAATTAGAAACACATGCGTAGAAGATCTCAACTTATTACCAGGAACTCCGTTTGGAATTGGAAGTGGTGGAGATGAGAAATAAATTTAGATACTATATGATTTATCTTTCTCTACCAACTCACTTTGTACAAAAATTGCTTCCCTTAAATAGTGATATAATACTGTCGTACTGATAATCCTTGAACGTAAAACTTATCCAGGTTTATAATGTAAAACATTCAAAAATAAAAATATATAGAAGAAAAGAGAACTTGCAGAAAGGAGACAAGAATAGAAATGAAAAAAATAAAAATAATCTAGCGCTATAACATTTTTCTATTTTCAATCAATATATTTCAGTATAACTTTAAATAAGAAACAAAATAGAAAAGAGGATGACACAGATTCAAAGTAACATATAATGCATGTTACTTATAATGTTACCAAGAATGGAAGTGATAAAAATCAAGAATTTAATGAAAATTTTAATTTCTACAATAAATAAATATTGTTTGTCTGCGTATTCTTTTTTTGTAAGCTATGTGTATATATATAAACGTCTATGTGTTAATTTGTGTTTCTGAGTCTGAGTAAACTTGTTTCTTTTTTACATCAAAGTTGAGATTCATATCATCTAGTGACGCTTTCTAGCTTCGATTGTGACTCTATTGTGTTAGAAGATGAATCAGCGTCCACGAAATGATTACTTGAGAGAAAATAAGACTGGCAAGTACACTCGAAAGAGTATTTTCGATCAAGTACAGACTAACGCTAACGCCATACCTCACCAGCCGCGGCAACCACAACCAAAAACGCTAGTGTACATCATTGACAAGGAAGACTTCAAAAGCATTGTTCAGAAATTAACGAGTAATCAATCATGTGAGTTTTTATCTCAAAACCTTCCAAATCGTCAGAAGATTAGACCAGGGTCGACTTCACCAGTTCCTCCCAATGCCGCAGGGGTTCATGTCTCATCGCATATGCGGTATATTGAAAGTTTACGTGACGAATCATCGGATTCTAATGGTGAACTCTTCCAACAATTATGTGATGAGAATCAATCTCATATGCAACCGATGCTATATTCAAATGGTGACAAAATCCAACAAACATTTAATGAGAATCAAACTCATATGCCACCCATGTCAAATTCCAATGTTCTTATATCAGTCATGACCAGTACTTTACCCTCTCCTTGGTTCAATGGTTCGCCTCAACAAATGGACGCTGCTTACTCATTGACATCAACAAGAGTTGAGTATCCTCAACCATTGACGCCAAACTTCACATTTTCGTCTAACCCGGAATTTTTCGATCCAGTCCTAGGACGTTTTAAGCTCCTAAGTTCGATGTTTCTGATTGCTATCACCACTCGTCTTTTCCTCCATTTTCAGATATTCCAGAACAGAATATCCATTAAACAAGAAATAAGATAGTTTGAATAAGAGAGTTTAGCTAGAGTGATTTTGCTAAATTTGGCTTGTATGGTGATGGTTATTATATTACTATCTTGTATGAAGTTATGTTTGGCTTATGAATTAATGAATAAACTCTTTTCTCTCTTCTAAGCAATTTTGTAGACACACATCAAGAACAAACAACCACTCGATATTATTTTGAAATCAGAAGCAACTAAACTTGATCACTCTTTGTTATTAAACGGACAAAATTGGCTTACAAGATGAAAACCGAACAAGACTTCCTTGGAAAATACCAAATTGGTTAATGATCTAAGATCAGAAGCAAGAGACTGAAGAAACAGAGAGATGGAAAGAGAGGCTGTTAGCATACTTAAAGGAGAGCGTCTGTCCAGAAGCAAGAGGCTGACTGTCGTTGACCTTGCAATCGACATTGGAGATTCGTCTGAAAACTCTCGGGTTAACAATCCTGACCAAGCTAAACAGCCACAATTCACGTGGATCCCCACAATTGTGCAATTAGAAACACATGCGTAGAAGACCTCAACTTACATCCAGGAACTCCGTTTGTAATGGGAAGTGGTGGAGCTGAGAAAAAACTTTAGATACACTATGATTTCTCTTTCTCTAACAACTCACTTTGTACGAAAAATGCTTCCCTTAAATAGTGATATAATACTATCAAACTGATAATCCTTGACCGTAAAACTTATCCAGGATTATAATGTAAAACATTCAAAAATAAAAATCTATAGAAGAAAAGAGAACCAGCAGAAAGGAGACAAGAATAGAAATGAAAAAAATAAAAATAATCTAGCACTATAACATATTTCTATTTTCACTCAAATATATTTCAGTATAACTTTAAATAAGAAAAAAAAATAGAAAATAGGATGGCACACATTCAAAGTAACATATAATGCATGTTTTCAACCTGTTCAGGAAAATTAACCAAAATTTAGAAAATATTTTCCAAGGAAACTGTATGTAAAATTAAAGTTGGAGGAGTTTATTACCCAAAAAAATCAAGAACGGAAACGGTAAAAAAGAAGAATTTAATGAAAATTGTGACGTCTACAATAAATATATATTGTTTGTCTGCGTATTGTTTTTTTTGTTAGCTCTGTGTATATATATATATAAACGTCTATGCGTTATTTTGCGTTTCTGAGTCTGATGAACTTGTTTTTTTTTAACATCAAAGTTGAGATTCATATTATCTAGTGCAGCTTTCTAGCTTCGATAGTGACTCTATTGTGTTAGAAGATTAATCACCGACCACAAAATGATTACTTAGGAGTGAATATGACTAGCAAGTACACTACATCAAGTACACACTAAGGCTATTGCCATATCTCACCAGCTACGGAAACCGCAACCGAAAATGCAAGTGTACATCATTGACAAGGAAGACTTCAAAATTATTGTTCAGCCGTTAACAAGTAATCAATCATGTGAGGGTGTTTCAAAAAAATAATCAATCATGTGAGTTTTTACCTCAAAACCTTCCAAATCGTTTGAAGATAAGACCAGAGTCGACCTCACCAGTTCCTCCCAATGCCACAGGGGTTCATGTCACATCGCATATGCGGTATATTGAAAGCTTACTTGAAGAATCATCGGATTCTAATGGTGACAACTTCCAATAATTATTTGATGAGAATCAACCACATATGCAACCCATGCTATATTCAAATGCTTACAATTTCCAACAAATATTTGATGAGAATCAATCTCATATGCCACCCATGTCAAATTCCAATGGTCTTAAACCAGTCATGACCAGTACTTTACCCTTTCCTTGGTTCAACGGTTCCCCTCAACAAATGGACGATGCTTAGTCATTGCGATCAACAAGAGTTGAGTATCCACGACCATTGACGCCAAACTTTACATTTTCGTGTCTCAACCAGAATTTTTTGATCCAGACCTAGCTCCTAAGTTTGATGTTTCTGATTTTTGTCACCACTCGGCTTTCCCTCCATCTTCAGATGTTCCAGAACAGAATATCCATTAAACAAGAAATAAGCTAGTTTTAATAAGAGAGGTTTAGCTAGAATGATTTTGCAAAGGTTTTTCTTTTACCTGTTCACTTGTGGTAGGGTGTGGCACCTCTATGGTAAACACCATTGTTTCTAATAAATCATTCAAATATCTTGTTGATGAAGTGAGTTCCACCGTCGCTTATTAGTACTCTAGGAACTCCAAACCGCAAAAAATAATGCTCTTAAAAAGCTTCACAACCACAGATGCGTAATTGGTCGGGGAAGCTAATGCTTCAACCCATTTAGATACATAGTCTACAGCGACTAGTATATACCTATTTCTGTATGATGATGTGAAAGGACCCATAAATTCTATCCCCCAGCAATCAAATACTTCCACTTCTATTATGATTTTATGTTCTATTTCATGTCTTTTGCTGATTTTTCCTCGCCTTTGCCATCAGTTGCATTGCGTTATATGCGGGTGGACATCACGAAACATCGTCGGCCACCAAAATCCTGCTTGGAAGATTTTTGAAACTGTCTTAAAGGTGGCAAAGTGTCCAGCATAGTCATATCAATGACATTGGAATATTATATCAGAGATTTCAGCTTCGGATACACAGCGTCCGCATATCCATCAGAACAATGCTTGTAGAGGTAGGGTTCATCCCAATGATATCTCCTAAATTCTCTTAAGAATTTCTTCCTCATATATGTTAATGTAAAGGGGAAACCACAATAGTACTGCAGAAAGTAAACCGAGAGACAAAACACTAAAAGCAAACACCAATAGATTTATTAGAATCTCCTTAAACAATCTATTATAAGATCTGCTTAGTTCAACTTTTACACGTCTAGTGTTATCACCCTAACACACGCTACTGAAAGATTCCTAAGCTACCCGCTTATGTTTCTCTACCGTCAAGTACTTGAGCCATTGCTTCAGTACGACCTATAAAACTTCCAAGAGCTTTTCTCTCTCTATAAGATCACCCAATATATATCTGTCTCTCTACATACAACCCCACAGCTATCTTATAGTTATTTTCCATGTTCTCGAAACCCTATTCTTCAAGGCAACGTGTATGGACATCTTCCATATCAATAAGTGCAACTTTCTTTTTTTTAGAATGCACTTATTCCTCTTTCCTTAAGTCATAAATTTGCTCCTCAAGTTTATTCATCTTTCCATATCTCCAAGATACACATTTTCTCTCCAAGTCTACACTACTCCAGCTAAGCATCTTGACTCCACATGGTCTTCACCACTCAACACGACGTCTGCTTCAGCAACTACGTCATCAACTACTTCACGGCAGACATCTTACATCTTCAGTCTCCCCCTTTTAGCTTTGTGTGCAATCTAGTCATTCATCATATTTTTCAACCTCAGATTCATAATCTGATTTAGATGATGTACTTGCTTCATCTTTGTGTGCACCAAAAGCAACTAGGTTGAGCACTTCGTATTTTTCTGATTCATTATCATTTGTCCGTACGAAGGATCTCTCTTGCTTGTGCATATCATCGTGTCCAATTTCTCTCCACCTAAAGCCTTTAAATCTTCTTCTCTTGGCCATCGGACATTCCCTTTTGAAATGTCCATATCCTCTGTATTTATAACATTGCACCTCTTTGTTACCGCATGGCTCGCCAACTTCTCGCCTTTGTTTTCTCATAGCAACTTTCTCATGTCCTTGCCACTGTATCACTTCTCGTAGTACTTGGTGAAGCATGCAAATCATATTAACCATCTCATCTTTATTCTCTGATTTTGACTTGTCGCTTTAGCAACTGCCATGTTAACTTCAATATGATTTCCCACGCCATCAAGCTTCCATCTCATGTGCTTTTAACATACCCACAGCTTCGTGAAAGCTGAATTTATCTATGTCAAGAGACACAAACATTGCTGCCTTATAAGCTGTAAATCTTTCTGGCAGACACCTTAAAAACTTCTTCACCAGTTTCTTGTCCTTAAATTTCATGCCCAGAACACAAGCCTCTTGTGCTAACGCACTGAGTTGACAACTAAAATCTGATACAGATTCATGTTCTTCCATCTTCATGTTCACAAATTTTGATTTGAAAAAATCAATCCTTGAACTCTTAACCTTTTTAGTTTCTTCAAAGTGTAATTGCAGAATATTCCGTGCCTCTTTTGCATTCTTACAGCCTTGAATCAGATCAAGTTACTTATTTTTGACTGATGTAAATATACCATATAAAGCTTTTGCATTATACCTTGACTTCTCCTTTTCACGATTTGTCCATTTAGCCAATGGTTTATTAACCAAAACACCATCTTTATCTACTGTCTTAGGGACTTCATAGAAATCTTGCACTGATGCCCAAGCATCCATATCAATACTTTCTAAGCTTGCCTTCATCTTCACTTTCCAATGCCCATATTGTTCAGGATCAAGCATAAACTCAGCCACCATACTTCCTGATGCTTTCTGCTATCCTATGTCTTTCCTTCTTTCCTCTTGCCTTCGAGATCTTAACCAGTGCTTTAGGTGACCGGCTCTGATACCAATTTTTAATGTAAAGAGGACACCACAATAGTACTGCAGAAAGTAAATCGAGAGATTAAACACTACAAGCAAACACCAATAGCTTTATTAGAAACTTCTTAAGCAATCTATTACAAGATCTGCTTAGTTCAACTTTTATACGTCTAGTGTTATCACTTTAACACACGCTACTGAAAAACTCCTAACCTACCCGCTTATGTTTCTCTACCGTCAAGTACTCCAGCCACTGCTTCAGTGCGACCCAGAACACTTCCAAGAACTTTTCTCTCTCTATAAGATCAGCATGTATATCTTTGTCTCTCTACAGACGACCCCATAGCTATCTTATAGTTATTCTCCATGTTCCTGAAACCCTACTCTCCAAGGAAACATGTATGGACATCTTCAATATCAATAAGTGCAACTTTCCTTTTTTTGGAATTCACTTATTCCTCTTCCCTTAAGTCATAAACTTGCTCCTCAAATTTATTTCTCTTTCCATATCTCCATGATA